TAGATAGATAGATAGATAGATAGATAGATAGATAGATAGATGATAGATAGATACAGACACAGAGAGAGAGAGAGACAGGCAGATATATAGATAGATAGATAGATAGAGAGAGAGAGAGAGAGACAGACAGACAGACAGACAGACAGACACAGTAGATATAAAATAAAATCAGATTCTCAGAGGAGTCCATGGACAAACCATAATGAGAAAAAAAAAACCAGTTCACTCTCATAATCCTGAGGGGATCCACACAGAAGAAACGCCGCAGGAACTCACCTGAAAGGATAACTGAAAGAGGCGGTTATTGTTTTATTCACCACGCCGTGACAGGAGACCAGAAGTGTGGTCACTCCCTTGTACCCTCCACAAGAAGCGAACGCAAACACCGCAAAGAGCTGTCGGGGGAAAAAATAACATCCGGATTCTAGCATTTCATTCGCAAAGAGGATAACCGCGAAGAACGATCCGCTTATCAAAATCCCGGCTGCCTTTTTTTTAATTCGAAGGCTCAAGAAATGACATTCAAAGTCAGTTTGTGGGGTGAAAAAAAAGAACCCTGCAAGCACAAATTGGGGTGCCTGAACAAGAAATATTTAGCCTTAAAAAAACCAGCTCAAGACTATGACGTAAAATAATACAGATCAAATTATAACAGTCCGTTTAATGACCATTGAAAGTTACAACGGCGCCAAAGTGGTTTATGACCATTTTTCGCACTTACGACCGTTGGTGACGTGATTTATCTTTGGATGCTTGGCAACTGACTCATATTTATGACGGTTGCAGTGTCCTGGGATTGCGTGTCCCCCCATTTGCGACCTTCGGTCAAGTCAATGGGGAAGCCAGATTCGCTTAACAACCCGTGCGGCTAATTTAACAACTGAAGTGATTCACTTAACAAACGTGGCCAGAAAAGTCATAAAAACGGGGCAAAGCTCACTTAACAAATGTCTCACTTAGCAACATAAATGTTGGCCTCCATTGTGGTCGTAGGTCGAGGACGACCTGTCATAGGGACTAGATTTCCACAATTTATTCACAATAATTCCTTTTGCTGGACTTTGATTTAGCACAGCGATGGCTAACCTTTTTGTTGTCACATGCTGAAAACACGCGTGTGCGCCCGCACCCATAATGCAATGCATGTGTGACACACAAACAAACATCCCGTGCCAGTGGTGGGTTGCAGGCGGTACGCCCCAGTACAGGCGTAACGGAGCCTGTCCGGAGCACCGGATATTGTTCCGGTACGGTGCTCTAGAGGACCCGCCCGCCCGCCCGAGCTCCTTTGGCGCTTCCGCGCATGCGCATGGCACATACAGCACCTGCGCGACGCTCCATGTGGACGCTATTGGACCCGTTCTAACCATACCAGTTGGAACAGGATCCAGAACCCACCACTGCCCCGCGCCCTGCCCTCCTGCGCATACACACACAACCCACCCACCCCACATGTGTGTGAGAGACCCCCACACACACACTGGGCTTAGTAAGCCTCCCTGCAGCCTCCTGGGACCAAATACAAGCTACCCATAATGCAATGCATGCACAACCTGCCCCCCCCCCTGTGCATGCGCACACAGCACCCCCGTACGACCCCCCATGCATGTGTGTGCAACCCCCATCCGCATGCATGCACATCTCCCTCATGTGCCCTGTTCCCTGCGCATGCGTGGCAGAGACCTGAAAATCCGCTGGCCAGCAGGAGGCGCATACGCAGTGCAGCTGAGCTGGGGCAATGGCTCACAAGTCAGTGCGACATGGATGTGTGTGCCACTTCGGGCACGCGTGCCATAGGTTCGCATCACGGATTTAGCAACTTCTGTAAACCTAGACACCACGGTCTCTAGTTCAGGTGGTGGTACCAAGCCATCCACTTGTACTTTGCAAATAAACCATGGTTAAAACACAGTTATGCAAAACGACTGGACCTAATGAGGGTTAATGGATTAAAATATAATGTAAACTCAGCCCCGTTTGATTAAAAATGCCCTTTAGGGTGTAGAAATCAGGAACAAGAATAGTATTCATGTTTGTTCTTTTGCAAGACGTATTTTGCTGGGGGTTTAATGCTTAATCTGGATTTCGCAGATGATTGGATTCCACTTTAATATCAAATGATTTCGCACGTTAGCCATTTTGTCTAGAATTAAAATTACAACAACATTTGGTCTGTGCTAAATTTATACAACAGATTATGCTTCTTTGTGAGTTTGTGAGGCTATGACAACCTGATGCATGTACCAAGCCAAGCTGTGGCCTACAAACCATTATTTATGGTTTATCAGGGGCTGCGACACACCACAGCCTATCGTGATGCAGGATCCCAGCTTATAGGCCGTCAAAATAAGATCTCAGCATGTGTACATCCCACGAGTAACCTGGTTTTTGTCAGAAATATTTGCCAGCCGTAAAATACGAAAAAGTTGTGCAGTGCGATGCAGCAATTTTAACACAACCTGCAGCTGAAAACATGCTCTAAGCTTTAAGCTTTTGCAAATACCAAGACATTCCTACTACACAACGGTTTAGAGTTAGATTAGGAGGGATTCCACACTGGAAGTAGCTACTAAGGTTGACAGCAAATCTCCTTCTTCCCCTTTACTCCCTCCTCTTTCGTCTTTTATTATCCTATCACTCTATCCCCAATTCTTTTATTTTTCATTGTTTAATTCTATTTCTTTTGCGACTGTTATTGTTTAAACTCGTCTTCCTTTCTCCCGTTGTTGTAAGCTGCCTGGAGTACCAGCAGCACAACAGCAAGAGAAATTTTACATCCATAAAAGACAAAGGTTCCCCTTGCACATATGTGCTAGTTGTTCCTGACTCTAGGGGGCGGTGCTCATCTCTGTTTCAAAGCCGAAGAGCCAGCGCTGTCCGAAGACGTCTCCGTGGTCATGTGGCCGACATGACTCAACGCCAAAGGCGCACGGAGCGCTGTTCCCTTCCCACCAAAGGTGGTTTCTATTTTTTCTCCTTGCATTTTTACATGCTGAAGGAGTATATGAATCAATATTGGCTATTGGCTTTCATTATGAATTGCTTATGTTACTATATAATTGTTACTGATTAAACCAATATTTGCTGTTTGCTTCTGATATGAAAATACTGCTAGAAATCATTTATTAAGGATTAAGCGTTGTTGTTGGCTCCCGCTTATATTATTGTATACCGTCAGAAATGAGTTGTTTTCTAGCCTAGCAAATTGCAACCTTAGTAGTGGATGGCATTACTGCAAATGTCATCTCCCTGCTGCATCTCGCTTCTATTCTTGGCTTCAAAGCTAGGCACATTCTTGAAAACATAGGAGAAATTGTTACATGGGAATATCAGGTCCCATAAATAAAGGAACCAAAGTAGGGAGTTTTCTTGGCTCATAAATCCTTAAAGCCTTATGCCAAAAAAAAAAAAACAATTTGGCAAAGGGGGGCTGCCACCCCCTACACAGGCTATAGGGATACTCCATAGATAAGGTAGACAGAGAAAGGAGCTCGAACAAGAGGATGCTTTAAAGATGACATTGTTAACGACTCTTTCTCTCTGATTGGATAAACTTTGCTTCTACCTGCCTAAAATGTACATAATGCTCTGAGCCACTTTTGCAGGGGGGGGGGGGTGGCTATTCCATACATGAATTTTGTTTGTATGTTTTGGATATAGTTATATTGCTATGGCTATAAATAAAAGCTGATACTTTTTGCAAGCCTCGTCTCCACTCTCCTTGGCATTTCAGTGGCTCCGGGAAACTGCTGGAACCTTACAATACTTTCAAACTGCTAGGTTAGCAGAAGCTGGGACAAGTAACGGGAGCTCACTCCATTACGCGGCGCTAGGGATTCGAACTGTCAAACTGCCGACTTTTCTAATCAACAAGTTCAGCCTCTTAGCCACTGAGCCACTGCGTCTCTATAACATGCACACAAATAAAGGGGTAAATTGTCCTACCATTTAACATTTCGAATTAAGAGCCATATGTCTATTTGCGTGGATTCTCTTGGAAGAGAATAAATATTCTAAGGGGATTTTATAGAAAAGACAGGGGGAGGGGGAATAGTAATAAACTCAGTTAAACTGTGGCCTAGGAAAAGAAAGCTGAAACTATCATAGCATTTCTGGAGCAGAGAAAGAAATAAAAAATACAGGCCTCACAGCCTTTTCGGCCTAGAAAAACTTTGGTATCTTATTCTACTAAAGTTTTGCAAGAGAGAAACTACTTATCTCTACCACCATTTATTCCACATTAAAATTGAATTAATCCAAATTTACCCAAAGGAGGAAAGTTTGCAAGACCCTAAATTACAGTTGCTAGATTTTCGAGGTTCAGGACGTCTTGCAAATAGAGCTTTGGGGGTGCATATTCACACCCACCCACCCAAGAGTTTGCAGAAGACATCTTCAAGAGAAGCCACGCAAGGGTTCCTTCTCAAACCAACTCACCCACTCAAGAAGTTTGATGAAACCTAGAGGCTCTTTGAGGGGACCAAGGTCCAGGTGAAAATCACTCATGTTCTGCAAGAGGAGGAAGAGGAGGAAGAAGAAGAGAGATCAGACCAAAGAGATGGTGGGATCAAGAAGATGGAACTTCAACTCAGCCTTGTCTCCAAGGTCTCTGTTCTTCTCTGGAGGAGAAGGTGGACCTCTTTGGTCCTATAGAACCTGCCGCCTTGGGCTCCACCCACATCCCTCAGCCAATGGGATGCATTCTCCTCCTTTCCCCAACTGTTATCTCACAATGGGCTGGGAGAAGATCAGTGGGACATACAAAATAACAAGAGTTGGAAGGCTCCTTGTAGGTAATCCAACACCACCACCACCAGCAGAAGACCCTGCCTACACCATGTTCTGACTGATGGCAGCCCAGTCTCTTCTCGAAAGCTTCCAGTGATGAAGCTCCCAGAGACCCAACCTGGAATGAAGGAGAAATTTCCTGGCATGTTAGGACAATTCACCAGTGGGATGACTTGCCACTAGAAGTTGTGAATGGAGGTTGTTGTTTTTTTCCCCCCAAAGAAGATATTGAACAAGCCTTTGTCTGGAATGTAATAGGGTTTCCTGCCTGAGCAGGGGGTTGGACTAGAAGACCTTCCAAGGTCCCTTCCAACTCTGTATAATTCTGTTATTTGTTATCTGTTATTCTGAAGGCAACATCTGTACCGCTGGTTGATTGTCAGAAAATTCCTCCTTATTTCCAGGCTGAATCTCTCCTTGGTCAGTTTCCATCCATTATTCCTTGTCTGGCCTTCTGGTGCTTTGGAAAACAGCTTGACCCCCTCCTCCTCTCTGTGGCAGCCCCTCAAATATTGGAAGATGCTCTCCTGTCTCCCCTGGTCCTTCTCTTCACTAGAGAAGCCAGGCCCAGTTCCTGCAACCGTTCTTCTAATCTTATGTTTCATCAAATTCAAGCACATTTTACTCATTTTGTCCTGTCTAATTATACTTTTACACAGGGGCTAATTTTACAAAGGATGACTCTGCCTTGACATTAAACGGGGATATACCCGTATAAAAAAAAATATCAAGGAAGTTAATTGAGTGTTTCAAATCAAATATTTAAATTGCCAGCAGCAGGAAAGGCTGCTACCATACATTAAAGAATAACACCCATCCACCCCCCAAAATAGGAGTTTTAAGTTTTATGCCTTTGCATTTTAACAAACCATTAAGGAACCCAAAACAGAAAAAAAAAAAATGGTGATTCTCTTTTAGTGTGAACAATCTGTGCATATATGCTAAGCCATGTTTTTTGAACCCTCTTTTACTAAGAAAGCCACAATCCACTCCGATAACGTTTCCCAAAAGCACAGATATAAAAGTGAAAGCTTTTCTTTGTAGAAGTAGGTGTACAGGTATAAGAGCCGAGGTGGTGCAGTGGTTAGAGTGCTGTACTGCAGGCCACTCCAGCTGACTGTTATCTGCAGTTCGGCGGTTCAAATCTCACCCGCTCAAGGTTGACTCAGCCTTCCATCCTTCCGAGGTGGGTGAAATGAGGACCCAGA